ATAATAATGTGTGTTTGATGTGTTGTTTGTTGCCAAAAAAAAGTATAATTTCCACATTAAAATCATTCAAAGGCATCTACGAATTCTGAGCATAGAGAAACTTTCCACTTCAATGAATGTGAAAACATCCTTCTAGTGTCAAACTCTGCACATACAGAATTCTACACAGTGAAGCTCAAACATCACACTGTAGAGACAACAAGAAAAACTGATTTTAAAGTGGACAGGGACCTTCATTTTATGTTCTTTGACTAAAAACTCTGAAAATACTTTATTTTGTTCCTTTCAAGTGCACTTATTGAAACCATCTGCCAAATGACTATGATATAATCGACTAATTATTTCATCACAAAGAGTTTATAGCCCCTTTGGTTATTCACACATTGAACGATGACAACCATGTTGGTCCAGAATGACAGGAAAGCATACATGAATGAAATATGATACAATAACAATGTGCTGACTAACTGCAACTTTCCTCGTGGGAAAATCTCTGATCCTGAAAGACAGGTGGGAAGAACAACACTGTGTACAGCTCACCTGAAAAAGTTCCAAGTATAAACCATGGCTGAGTCACCTGCACTGAACATAATGTAATTGTATTACACTGAAACACCAAGAGTCTTAGATACTGCCTCTTTAATATCACAGCACTGAAGTAAACAACGTACACATTATGATTTGTGGTCCATGTTCATGTGACTTTGTACGTAACTTGATGATCAATCTCTTAAACAGACGACATGTTCCTTTAAGTCCTTCATATCTGCAAGGATAAAAATATATATATATATATATTTCGTATGGGAACTTATCAGACACAACTCTGCAACTCAGCTAGAGCCTAGAAATAACAAATAAATCAAGCCTTGTATTCAGAAGCACTGTTTTACAATCTGGTTTTGGGCCGAGGGATTCTCTATCAACCTAATGGTAAAATTTAGTTGAGGTCTAATATTCCATTCACATTATTAAAGTCTGGCAGCTCCTTTCGTAATATCATCATGGATATATGATCGTTTTACGTTGAGATATTCTTATTTAAAAATGGATTTTTGTGAGAGCCAACATCCTGAACTGACTGAACAGAAGATTGATTGTCTCCCTGTACATCTAAGTGGAATAAGCTTTATATTTGGAAAGAATAACTTAACAAAAACAGCTTTATTTGTTGACTCTGGACCAGAAAGAGCTGGAGACGTTTAAGACCACATCCTACCAAACCAGTACAATTTTGTTAAGGCAAGGTCAGAGGATGAAAGGAAGAAAGTCCATAGACCAGATCCGTGCAACACTGTGTGGTCCAGTTCTTACCATATCTCTCTTATGCATTCCTGTTTTCCTTTGTCTCCTTTAACTCATATATAGTCTCTCAACCTGATTCAGATTTAAGGGGAAGTCCAAACTGTGAGTAGCAAAGCCAACTATCCATGGATACAGCATTCAAACTAGATATCTTATTCTGAAATGCTACGTGTGTGGGCAAAATCAACACAGCAAGAGCCAATACATATTAAATTGTACAGCACTAGCTCAGAAGACAGTTGTAAGCTGGACGTACTACTAATACAGTATCAATTGTGGGGATTGAAGGTCATTTACAAAATAATCTTGGGGTTTAAAATCCATGCACATGGACGCAGTAAATAGCCGTGCTAGGTATGTTACTGAAACATGAACTCTATCACAGGTCAAATAGCGTATTGTGAACTATCACTGCACTCATCCTTGTTTAACTGTTGAAGTTTGCAGCAAAATGAGTAAAAACTGCACTAAAGTTTTAAAACCTTTCGGTTCGCATTTGCTGCATGTTCTTTCATTTTGAATTCAAAAGAATAACAAGCACAACTCCGGCAAATACCATCCTCAGTGTGCAGAAAATCTCCGTCAAGACAAAGGTGAGGAGATAATTTGTTATCCTCAAGGCCATCATTACACATGACTCTCTCCCTTTATGCTCAGAATCAAGGCTATGGGCAACAGTGGTAGCAGAGAAATCAGGTGCAAATCACTGAAAAGGATTTTTTATCTTACAGCACATGTTGATGGTTTTTCAATCACATGCTTTTTTCCCCTCACAGATTTCCTCTTTGTCCCAACCTGTTACAGTCACAATAACACATCAAACTTCTGAACTCAGTCCGAGTGTCAGTCGAGTAGATAAAGAAGAAGTACATCGTTTCAACAACCCACTCCTGCAGATTCATACTCCACAACACCAGGTGCCTGCATGTGCCACTGAAACTCAGCAGCTCATCCAGAACGCAGCAGCCCGGCTGGTCTTCAACCTACTTTGGTTCTCCCACACTACAACGCAACGCTCCGCACCCTGCACTGGCTACCAGTGGTTGCTCGAAACCAATTCGAGATAACTACCGTGCTGCGAAAGGCCCAGGCATCCAGGATGTGGTCAAACCATACACCCCAACCCATCCACTACGCTATGCTACTGCCAATCAGCTTACTACTTCTTCACTGTGAGGGGAACTCAGCTATTGCTTTACAATGACGATGGTTTGCCGTCCTGCACCCTAAATGGAATGAGCTCCCCACTGACATCAAGATAGCAGAAACTCTATACATCTTCCATCGCACACTGATAACTCATCTGGTCAGGCATGTCCTGGATCAGTTCACTGGGCAGTGGGTTTTAAGGCTTTGGAGAAGTTTAAGACCCTCTGTGAAAAAGGTGGAAACCCTTGTATGACAGACTTTTCTCAGTATCTTACATTAGCATTACTCACTGGGAAACTACACAGGCTGTTTCGTTCCCTCAAGGTAATGTCAAGTTTTTCTTTGTCTGAGATGACATAATGTATCGTGCAGTTTAAGTCGAGACATGTTCAACCTGGAGTGCCCATGGGTGCGCCTTGAAACGTGCTCCTTCAGAAACACAAAAGGTGCAAAGCACTGAGGAGACCGATCAAAAGAATGATTTATTCTAGTGAATGAAACCAGATTAGATAATGACACCAGTTTTATGATATTTAAATCAGTTAAATGCATTTAAAAATCAAGTTAACCACTTGAGGCTTAAAATGTACTGTAATGTCTAGGAAGCTTTGCTGGTGATAACTTGACACACTTTGTTATAGTATACTTAAGTAGTCCCGAGATAAGACCTAACACACACAAATTATTATTAAACTGAATCTTTACTGTCAGAACATGAAAGCTCACTCAGCTCCTCCCAGTGTACTGTACTGAAAGATTTCCACCATGAGCAATATGCTTGGCGCTGTAGGTTCTTTTCTCCAACCTGTCCTCCTCCAGTTTCATCATCTTCCTCTCTTTCATCTTGCTCTTTCTCTCTCTCTCTCTCTGATGGACCTGATGGCCTCATCAATAATACACTCAAACATCCGTCTGCTTCAGCAGCTTCTGACAACAATAAACAGCTTCTTCATAGTGCTGTGCATGTGTGTGTGTGTGTATGTGTGTGTATGTGTGTGTGTGTGTGTGTGTCATGCATGTGGCCCAACCACACCCACTCTTGCCTCTTTTGTAGCTCTGCTGTGGGTCACCGATTCATCTAACAAGAGCACAACAAAGGTAACAGGATCTATACTGTGTGTGTGTGTGTGTGTGTGTACAGTGACTCATGTTGTGCATCTGCAACACTGTCCACGACAACACTGTTTGCTTTGCAGTAATCCTGTATGTGTAAATATTAAATAACATGCTTTTCAGAGTTTAATGAAGCTGAAGTCTGTATTTCTTTCAAATTGCCGTGTGAATACCTGTCTTTATGTGTGGTGAAAGACTAAAAGCTACCATGGTTGGAGAAGCTCTCACACATACAACTCTCCACAGACCAACGTGATGCAGCCTTTCAGAGTCTCTTGAGCTCATTGTTTTGGTTTCACAGCCCACAACTGCTGAATATAGTGGAATATTTAGCAGCTAAAGAGCCAGAGATTTCCCTCTTTTTTACAAAAAAATGAGCTACAGAGAGAATGAATAATGGACTTTGCCAGAAACACGACTTCGCATGAATGATAATGTTGCTTCATGTCTGCTGGATGTGTAAATAGACAACTGTTTGCTAACATAATCGCCATAAAAAGCTGAAGTGAGTGAATATATGTCTTTACAGCTTGTTCACCTGCTCCCGAGTTGTCAAAAAATTTATTTATGCTGCTTTAAATAAGCATGTTCAACTCCCTGAGGCATAATTATGAGATACCAATTTCATTTTTTTATCTATGGTGTCAATAATGTGAGAAGTTAATTATACAAGGTATTACACTGTAGTCTCAGTGAGTCAAATAAACTGATGGAATAACTCATAATAATGACTTGTTTTGACCATTCCTACATGAACGTTTTCATCTTTCTTCTCCAGCAGGAAGGGGCTCCCAAACACAGCGCATGTTCCTCACACTAAATGTTTACTTTTATTCCAGTACATCTGTGAAAGCAGGACACAGAGCTGCGCTGAAACAATCTTCAGTTCTTAACTGTTGATCAAGATGAAATGCCAATCATTAAATCCTGGGGCCGCAGACCCTCAAGGGGCCCCCCAAAAAAAGCCTCAGGCTCCCAGATATCACATATGTGCCCACTAAATTACAATATTAACTACATGGGTCGTGCATTATTAGCTTATCTTGTGGCTCGCCTTTCTAAGTTTTAACACTTTATTTTAGTCTATATGCTATTCAGTGCATCATCCTCAACAGCAAGGGGCCCAAACACATTATTTTTCCTTAGGGCCACATTAACTCTGGATGGCTGAAATGTGGGAATTTGGAGAATTTCTCATAAATGTAATATCTTTGGGTTTTGAACCTCTGGACAGAGAAAACAGGCCATTTAAAGACAGTCTGGTGAACTTCGTTGGAATTTTCACAATTTTCTGAACTTGTCATCATTGAAAAGGGGCCATAATGAAGATAATCAGGCTACTTGCTGGAACCCTAACTATTGCACCTTTAAAGTACAGAGTCATATTCCCAGCAGCAGCCCCACTGCTTCAGGGTGTCCCATCCCGGTCTTACCCAGTCCTCGAAGTGCTTGCTACCGTTGTGCAGGATGTCCTCGAACTGGATGATGCAGTTGGCCACGAAGTCGTCGTAGCCGATGGGCGCGTCGTGGAAGACGGACAGCTCGATCCTGCGGCCGTCGTGGACCTCCGTGGTGAACTCATCGTTCCACGTGGGGCTGTTGGTCTTCTGCTTGGTGGAGGTCTGGCCCACGCGGGAGTCGTCCACGTTCAGGGCGATGTACGTGTCCAGGAGGAAGGTCTGCGTCTTGGGGCCGACGGCGTGACGCAGGGACCAAGCCGTGGGTTTGAGCTCCAGAGCCTCGCAGATCTTGATCTTCAGCTGCCCGTTGAAGATCACCATGGTGGAGGAGAGGTCCCGACGCTTGGTGCTCCAACTGTGTGACGTGGTGGCAATGAAACCACCCCACCTTTCCCCCCGAACCACTTCAAAACAATTAACTCCTGTAAGGGCTTGAATAACGGCGCTGTTCAACCGGTGGTCCTCCAGGCAGACACTGTAATTCCTTCCAGCTGAATATGACGGAGAGAACGCCAACTACAAAGCCTCTGTCTGTATTGGGGTTGCCTGAAAACGTACACACTTGTCGAATAATCTACAAATGTCCCCAAAAAGCCCACCGCAGCCGCCGCAGAGAGGCGGGAGTTAACCCGGGGGAGCTTTCCTCAGAAGTGCGCGGAAGAACCATGAATAGCTACCAACGGGCGAGACTTGGCGACAAACATGCGAGCAAAGGCCCCAGATGTGAGTCGGTCTGTCATGTGTTTTACCTTCGAGGTATTAATAAACTCCGTTGGCTGTTGCGGGGCGCCCTGAAAGCACAAGCCCGTGTTGCATTGCACCGTGTGGCGGGTGGGAGGCTCCAGACGCCTGCTGGCTGCCGCCGCGGCGCATCGGGGATGTTCGAGCCGGACCGCTGTGACCAGTCGGCGGCTGGTAACCACCGCAGCAGGGTCTGGGATGGGTATGGGTGAGGG